TTACGGAAGGAGCCTGACACCTTTTTGACACGCCAAAAGGGTGGCGATGGCGTCATGGTGTGGGGCTCGTTTTCGTCGAAAGGGTTGTCGGAGTTAGCCTTCTTGGAAGGCAACAAAAAGGCCGACGATTACGTCGAAACGTTGGAGAACTATTTGCTTCCACTTGGTCATTGCCACTACGGCCCCAGCTTTACGTTTATGCAAGATGGGGCGTCAATCCATCGTGCGAAGACCACCATGGCCTGGTTCGCGGAGAATGGGGTGGACATTTTTGACCATCCATCCCATTCTCCCGACCTAAATCCAATTGAAAACTTGTAGGGGGCCCTAGCACGTTCGGTGTATGCGAACGGACGTCAATTTATGACACTGTTTGACCTCGTCGAGGCTATCAAACGTGCATGGGCTGGCTTGAGTCAAAGTTATCTCGACAAGTTGATTCGATCGATGCAAGACCGTTTTGTTGACGTTGTAGTAGCTAAAGGAGGTAAAACAAAGGACTAATGAATTGATTTGGGTCAATAACAGCGATTTGTGTTGAAAATACATTGATTTTTCAGAGGTGTCGTTAACCACCTGGCGCAGTGATGTTTCATAAAGTTCTCATTTTGACTATATTTTCGAAGTCGCTGTGCCCATGGAGTTGGAATCCTTTTGCAATTAGCATATCAATTCGTTCATAAGCGTCTGCTTATCGAATAAGGACATACGTCAATAGCAATGACAAGAAAACAGGGTGGCATTATCCACCTGGCGCGCATTGTACATGTCGACAGTCGAATTCGCAAACGCTGGCACGCCTAGCTACTCCGCAGCGCTGCCGTCGGTGCATGTGCTGGATGTCGCCACAAATCATGACTTGCATGGGCCCATGCTTGTGGATGGCTTTGTTCAGACACACACAATCACGCACGACGCGACCGCATCTTTGCGTCGGCCTTGCTTCGAAGGTTGCTAGCCAACGTGTCTCGGTGGGCACACGTCCGGTGGAAGCGTGCACGGCAACGTCTCGACTTGGGCCGGTTTTTACTACACATCCCGAGGGCGCTGCCTTTGTCTCGAGCGATTCCGCCCGCGAACAACAAGCATCACCATGGGCACCGACCCGTGTGTTAGCGTCTGCTGCGCGGCATCCACTGCAGCTTGAAATTCCCGCTGCGACTCGGCATATGCTGTAGCACTGGTCGGGGTGACGTGGCACGTTCTCGGCTCGTTCGTGCAACCAACGTATCGGGGAGTTTCGTATCATGGCAGGTCGATCGAACCGCCGGTCGCATAGGTCTAAACTTGGCACAACTCGACGCATTGCGTCAGAAAAAAACACATGGGGGACCGAGGCGGCAACCCAGGCGGTGGCTCTGTCGCGCCGGTCGCAGCCAAGACGCGCAAACGTCGCGCGTACTTGTACATTTTCAACAGCATTGCGGCCATTGCGTCCGTGCTGTGCGTGTATGTTGTCAACACGGTCGGGACGATTCGCACGATTCAAATCCTCGTGGGCGCAGACACGGCCTCGTCGACGCGGGCCACCAACGGCCACCACGACGGATACAAGTCGTATTACGCGCCGTATTTGCTTCGCGAGATCGCGGCGACCCCCGCGACCGTCCAAGCCCGCATCGATGCGGTACGTGTGCCGTGGCCAGGATGGCCGTGGCTTGTGGTGTCGCACGACGACCGGAACGAATTTCGCGTTGCGACGGCCGGCGGAGCAAACCGTTGCTGAGTCGGTGTGTGTGCAGGTGCTCGCGAGCGGCAAGAAAGTCGGCTACTTGGAGATGGATCCGGTCGACGCGGCGGGATCTGGCAGCTTGGCGACGTCGTTTCGCCAGGACAACTGCTCCATCACATTCAACGAAACGACGGACCGCATCTACAAAGAAATGTACCTGGCCAAGACGCTCGTGCCCATGCTTCTCGCGGTACAGGGCGGCGACGAGCAATGGCCACTCGTTTTGGCGACGGGTGTGTCAACTGAACGCCCGGTCTGTGGACGTAGGGCTCGAATTCGTCGCTGTCGCTTGCCGACAACGCGGCCATGATCATCGTGGATTGCTCGTACGAGGGTCGAGCAAAGCTCGACACGACCAACATCAAGGTACGTCAGCCGCAGCGTGTTTGCCGGCAGCTCCATGAGGTGGACGGGCTCTGCGTTGGAATCGATGCCTGGCCAAGCTGCTGACAGTCGTTTGTGTTGGTAGCTGCATGTCGTGGACCGCCAGCTTCAATGGTTTGCCACGTATCAATTGCAAACGATCATGGCCAACATCCCGGCGCGCCGCGACACGATGCCGACGGGGACGGCCAGCTACACCAACTTGACGTTGTCGAGTTTGGTGCTTGAGCCTGGAGAGCAACCTGATCGCGGCAGGGATGCCCTGGCCAAGGTATCGTCGACGGTACGCGCGTCGCTGTGTCGGGCGTGTGCTGAGAGTGCGGGGCAGGAGGTCCCGGCTGTCCACCGGCTCGTGTCATCGAGAGGGTTTCCGTTTAACGCGGCGCCGTTTGATCCGGTCGTAATCCACTCGACCACAGACACGGGCGCTTGGAACACGAGCGTCGTTGCGACCGGCCTTCAAATGGTGCTCCAAGGATTTGGCGGGATGTATCGCGGGTCCCAGAATGAACAGGCCAACTACAAAACGTTCGTGTGGGTGCTCGACCCGGACCCGATCCAAGTCGTGCACACGTTTGAGTTTGTCGAAGTCGGGCGGACGAAAAACTCATGGGCGTGGGGCCAGGCGCTTATTTCCGGGTTCCTCTCGTTCGGCGTCCTCACGAGCACGGTGGCGACCGACCGATACCGCCGCGCTCATCGTTGGCCTTAGATCATGGCGTGCATCATCTCGCGCAACATCTTCAAAGCGACCCAAGTGCGATGGATTCCCGATATTTCGCCGTCCGTCCAGTCAGGCATCCTGTTTCGAGGCATCTTGACTGTGGTGGCATGGTGGATCGACGGGTGGTGGGCTGTCCAGGAGTGGTAAGTGCCGCGTGTCGGACCGGTCGGTCCCATGTCGGTGGTGGTAGGTGCTTCCAGCAGGGCAACGTGCGCAAGGGCTTGCTCGACATGTATGTGCTCACGGATAGCGTCAAATCGGACTGCCTCAGCTTGTTTCTCGCCGGCGCGTCGTTCATTGCGTCCCGCCTTCACTTGCGCATCAACCCGGCCGTCCCGGTCGTGATATACTTGATCGTGTACTCGCAGCGCGCGGCGATCGTGGCCGCCATGGGCATTCTGTCCTCCCGTACGACCCACTGAACCAATGTTGTTGTTGGAAACGACGTGCGCGGCGAAAAAACATCTCACGACCGTCACCAGGCGCGGACGTCGAGCTCGACGCCAACGAAGCGCTCAACGTTGTGCTGTCGGAAACGGCGGGCCTCGACATGTGGATGTGGCACGAGAAGAAGGATTTCAATGCGACGGTCGTGTTCAACGAACTCTCGTGGATGATGTTGGGTACATGCCCACGAATGCGGCGCGCTGCTTCTTCTTCACGAACCGGCATCTAGCGCTCGTCTTGATGCTGGCGTACGCCATCGCAGACAAACTGTACACGGTCTACTTTACAGATCACGTCACGGAAGCCAAAACGACAAGGAAGACGGCGGGCGGCACCGCAACAAACCCGACAACGGTACGACGATCGATTCAACCGACCCCGACGGCGCCGTGTAGGCGGGCGTCGCGTCGCAGGGCGGTAGCAGCGGGACCCACGATCGAGCGACGTGCTTTGAAACGAGCACGGTAAGCCGGTGCACCGCGCCATGATTCGTGATCGGTGGGGTGTGCAGGGGGAATACTTGCGGCACAAGTACGGGCTCATGTCGTATCATGAAAACTACCTGTTTATCAAAGGCACGCCGCCGCCGCGCGTGCGAGTCGGGCGCTGACTCGGGTGCGGTAGGCCTCAAGTACGCGTCGCCGTCCGGCATTTGGACGTCGGGGTGGGTCGTTGTCGACGACAAGTTTTTGTTTCGCACGGACGACATCATGAAGGCACGTGGCATGTCCATGTGGTCGTCGTTGTTATGGCGTGTGTGGTGTCCAGGTGTGCGCGAATATCGTGCTGCGCCACGATATTTTCCGCGCGCATTGCCACGTCATTGCAGACAACCAAGTCGACAAGACTGTCATCCGCGTGTTCCGCAAAGACATTACGCTCGCGCAGCTCTTCAACCTGTCGCTGCGGCCATTGGCATAGTTCGCCATGGACGGTTCTCCTACGATCGCAAGTCGAGTGCATGCCACTGGATGATGATGGCGGCGCCGAGGCCGCATCTCGCAGCCATCGACGCCCAAATCGACACACCTACCATTTTCAATCGTGTGTTTCACTCTCGAGCCCCGTACGAGGTGCATGCGCCGATTCTCGGCACGGGATCGTGTGCTTGACGCACGGCCGCTGCGTGGACCGGGCTGTCTCAATGCGACTCCATCAGGACGCACATGCATTGGAATTGTCAAACACAAGAAATCAATGTCTATGCAACAGAATGTGGCGGCCAGTCGAACGTGCCTTAGGGTGCCGCAGCAGCCCACAACCCACCACCGACCATGACCAAGACCGACCAGTGCGCTGCCAGCACCACCCGAGCACCTCCCGATGGTGGAGTTGTCGTGGGTGAACGCTGCGTCGTTGTCGTTGGAGTGTGAGTTGTCGAGGGGGATTGCGTCGTTGTGGTGGGCTGCATCGTTGAGACAGCTATCGTGGTGGCTTGCCGCGTCGTCATGTTGGAGGCCCGCGTTGTGTTTGGTGTCGACGTGGTGTTGTCTGCGGCAGCAGCCAGCACAGGCTCCACAGGCACGTTCGGTTGTGGATGCGGTGCAGTAGTAGGTAGGGCTGGCTGCGGCGCGTCGTCTTGGCGACGAGGGGCTACCGGTGCCACGGGATCGTTTGCTAGACGAGAGGCTGCTGCAGCGTCGTCAACCGAGCGAGGTGGGACGTCACCTTGGCGCGGGCCACTTTGGACGTTGGCCGGAAGAAGTGCATGCGCTCGAGGAGGAGCAGTCGCGTGATGTGGAATCTGTGCTGGAGTCGTAGTGGCACCATTCAAAGGGACATCTGCCTGGCGAGGGCCATTCGCTTGAAGAGCGGAGGCCACGGCGTTGGCTTGCGTCGGGCGTTCGGCAACTCGAGGAGGAGCAGTGTTCATCGGCGGCGGAGCCACGGATGGAGAGGCCGGTTGTTCAGGCAACTGGTGGATGACAAGATGGGGCACGACAGCTGCAGCAGCGGCAGCGGCAGCAGCATCCGTGGCCACGTCGTGGGTACACGTCATTTGGGTCAACACAAGTCGCTTTTGGTCGAGAACACGGCCGCAACTGGCGACTTGAGCCATCGATCCACTCGCCTTGGCGAGCACAACGTCCGTCGGCGATGTCCCGAGGGCTTTGGCGCAATCGGCTGCATCCGCCGTCATCACGACCGATCCGAGCGCCGTTTGGAGCGCGCCAAGGGGGCACACGTTGCTCGAAGCAATCGACGCCAACAACGAGAGCGCGACGAGCACAAACATGACCGTGATTGCAGGTGCGGCGTCAATGGCAAAGTGAGCGTCATGCACACGCGCGGCCCCTTCCATCAAGCCGTGATGGACATGGCGTTGCCGCGGCAAACGGCGCCGCCGCCTAACGGAATGGGTCGCCTGCCATCATCGTCGATGCCATCAAGTAGTAGTATCGCGATCAATTTTTCCATTATCCAGGATTTTACGATAAATATCGTGGATTTTCCAAGAATCCTTCACTTGAGCACAGCGACTTGAGGCAACGACTCAAATGAATGATGGGCAAAGGCGTGACGCCCCGCATCAAGCGCAGTTTCGAGCGCCGTTTCGACGACATGACCCATTTCGTCCGCACTGCGAGTGCCTTGCACGACAAGTGGGTGGCGGAGATATCCACGGCGTTCTGGAACAGCCATGGCACGATGCATCCATGGGCGAATGTTCTTCGACTGCAATGCGAGATAACGCACGACGTCCATCTGTCTAGCCTTGGCGGCTTCGACGAGGGCGCGCGCAGGACTTCCTTCAGGGCGATGGACATACAAATACTTGACAACATCCAAATGACCATACTTGGCGGCCCAGTCCAGAGCTTTCCTTGAGCACCCTTCCGTGCGATTCTCGCTTAGAAAGCGAACCACGTGAACTTGGTTGAGTCGCGCGGCCCACGTCATCGCTAACTTCGTACAGCCTTCGTTGCGGTTGTAGTGGAGAAACTGCACCACGTCGAGAAAACCCTTGCATGCTGCTGCGTCCATGGCCTCCTTGGTGCACCCTGGAAGGAAATATGAGATCGAGGTTCATAAAACATAGCTACATACCTTCTGTTCGGTACAAGTGCAGGAAGGCAACAATGTCAAGGTGTCCGTTGGCGGCAGCAGTGTCCATCACATGGGGTGTGCATCCAGCGACCTGTCGCATGTGCAGGTACTGGATCACTTGGAGATGTCCGTTGCGAGCAGCAAACTTCCACACGAGTTGCAAATCGCTGGGTTTGGTTGACACAGTCGTGGATTGCACCAACGTGGCAAGGGACACCACGTGACCTATGAACGACGTATACACGATAAACTGGCGCGCACACGTTTGCTGCAACACACGGACGGCAGGGATTCCATACGTGGTAAACCACTCGTGGTACATGGAGCTCGAGTGTTCCTGGAAAGTTTCGGACGCTAGCAGTCGGTGGGGTGCCCACCTGGAAGCCGCGACGGCACGGACGTCGCGTAGGATGGGGTGGTAGTGCAGGGGAAGACCTGTCTGGAACTGAACGAGGCATCGCCACAGAGATGCATTCGTCAGCGCGCTCAAGACAGCATCTTGGTCACCGAGGTGCGTCGTCGAACGTCTCGACTTCTTCATGCACCGCCGGCTCCGTGGGCATGCGAAGTGGCGAATTTGAAACTGAGCGCCATTCGCGCGGCTTTGTGGGGGGATTTCGAACTTCGAAGTCATGCCCTTCATACAAACTCCAAGTGAAATAAAACGAAGCGAAGTAAAATCCAGCCAATCCGATGCCACGAGAGATGACGGGATTCTGTCCACGCGACCAGCAGATGTCACATCATCAGTCCCGCACGGCGGACCAAGGCGATGACGGGGTGAATGGAGGCATGCTGGTCGCTTCCAGACAAGTCGAGAACTCAGTCCAGATGCAACGTACCTCTTCTTCCTTCGTAGTAGCGACGCGTTTGGGCAGGCGACTGCGGACGGGAAGATCGTCAGGTGGATGGCGGCGGCCAATGGCATGCGACGACCGATGTTGGAAGGGCAAGCACACCGAGCAGCCGCAGCACCAACGACGTTCGAGAAGAGTGGCCAGGGTGGGAGTAAAAACGACACAACGTGCGAGTTAGACGCCGCATGGCGAGCAAAGTGGGCACAAGTGACTTCGTTGACACGTTATGTGTCCTACATTCACAAGACAGCGCGGACGTCGTGTGGACGACCACATGACGGTCATGCGCTGTCCATGACGTACAACGAGCGCAGCATGCAAGGCTAAAGTGAATCGTAGGAGGAGTCGGCGATCGAGAATTCCCATGCAACAGAGCGCGATCGGGCGTTGGGCGAGCGACCAGCAGGGGGTGGAATATTCAGCGCATACCATATTCGTGAATGTTGTCGAAATTTCCAAAATATTACTCTCACAACGTTGCAGTTGTGCACCATTGGCAGACGAAAAATTTATCCATTCTAACAAATTCGAATATATTTTGTTGATACGATGGATTTGTATGTTCCTCACCAACATATCCGATGTGATATACTATGTGACACAACGATGCATACGCTAAAATGTCGACGATGCATGAAACATCACCGACGAGCGCACTTGGATCGCGCTAACAGGGCGCTCAGAATTCTGGGCGACTGCCAGCTTGTAGCAGTTCAGGAACTGCTCGAGCGCTGTATTCCCACGGTCATCGAGCGTGACGTTCAAATGTCGAATCGTCTTGTGCAGCCTCGCTGGAAGTTGCGTCCGTGGTGGCCTTCGCAACCAACGACGTCCGCTGCTTACACTATGTTTCGCTTTGCATAGTGTACCTCCATTCAAGGCAAAACCTCTGTACCAACAAAAACGACAGTGCCCACATTTGACCACCCCAGCAGCTCATACAGGATCAAGCTGGACCAAACGACGGTTGCCTTCAACGTGGCCGACCGAGATTCGTGCCTTCCCGCAAATGTGTAATCCAAACCCCTTCTTTCACCTCCCGAATCGCCTAAACAAAACCCGCCCGACCGCCGCGAGCGTCGGCACTTCGTCGACATGTCGGGACCGCAAACTCCGATCGCCTTTCTTGTGGATGGGAAGATATCCGGATAACAGGATATCCGGATTTGCCTCACCACGAGGATGGCATTCTTGCTCTGTTTGGTCCAATGGATTCCCCGGCGGCGGCAGCGTTGGTCGCGTCCATTGCGGCGCAAGGCGACAAAGTGCGCGACCTCAAGGCCCAGAAAGCCTCCAAGGAACAGGTGAGCAGATCGCCATGCTCATGCGATGAAGCTCTCATTCGGCGCGTAGGTGATGGAAGCCGTCAACACGCTGTTAGCGTTGAAGGCGCAATTCAAAACTGCGACTGGGACCGACTATGTTGACCCGAACGCGAAACCAAAGGAAAAGCCCAAGGAAAAGCCCAAGTCGGTGGACGCTCCTCCCGCGGACCCGACGAAGAAGAGCAAGAAGGAGCTGAACAAGGAGAAGAAGAAGGAAAAGAAGGCTGGGATCAAGGAAGCCGGCAACAACAACAATGCCGAGTCCACCGCGCCTGTGAACGCGAAGAAGGATGCCAAGAAACCCGCGCCCTTGACGATCGATTCCAAGTCGCCAGTGTTTGTGCAAGCTCCTCCTGCCGCTTCCGACAAACCGACCGTGTACTACACGGCCGGCCACCTTCCCCGCACCTCTTTTGCCGTCGCGACCTTGTTGAAAGGCGCTGGTTTGGATGCTGCATTTGTCAACTTTACGATTCCCCACGCGTTGCCCGTGTTGGTGCTTCCCACGGGCAAGGTACGTTCTCGGCATCGATCGCACAATTGTCATGACTGCATGGTCAGGTCATCAACGGCGATATCGCGATTGCTCGATACTTTTGCCGCATCGTCCCCGACGCTGGGCTCTACGGTCTGTCCTCGGTACGCATTCTCCATGACTCGATCGGCCGTTGGGAGGTAGTTACAGGGACCGTGTTGACATAGGAGCCCACCTTAATGGGCGAGATCGACGGATGGGTCGGATATGCGCAGAGCCACGTGCATGCATCGACGGTGCCCGCGGCGTTCCTGGACGCGATCTTGGCTGAGCGCACGTTTCTCGTCGGATTTGGCTTGACGTTGGCGGACATTGCCATCTACTCGGCGCTGGCGGCGGTTCAATTTGAGACCGATGCGGAAAAATATCCTCACCTGTCGCGCTGGTTTACGTACTTGCGCCCGATCTTGTCCAAGGAAAGTCTGGCGCTCAAGGATTTGTCGTCTCCGCGCAACGCCCCGGGCTCGCCAAAGAAGGCCGCCGCTGCCCAGGACAAGTCGACTTTCGTGAGCCAAAAGGGCAAGTCGACTGGGAGCTGTCCGCCGTTGGAAGGCGCAATCGTCGGCCAAGTGGTGACGCGGTTCCCGCCCGAACCGAGTGGTTTCCTCCATATCGGGCACATCAAAGCGTGCATGCTCAACGATTACTACGCGCGCCACTACCAAGGCAAGCTCATCGTGCGCTTTGACGACACCAACCCGTCCAAGGAAAAGGACGAGTTTGAGCAAGCGATTTTGCAAGACTTGGAGCGGTTGAATGTACGTGTGATCGGCACGGTCGAGAACACGCGTCGACGCTTTGCGTAGATTAAGCCCGACATTGTCACGTACACGTCCGACAGCTTCCCGATCATCATCGAGTACGCGCGCCAGTTGATCAAGGACGGTCTTGGGTACATGGACAACACGTCCCAGGAGCAAATGCGCGAAGAACGCATGGTCGGCATCGATTCCGTCAACCGCAATACGTCGGTGGCGGTCAACTTGGACTTGTTTGAAAAGCTCTTGGTCGCGGACCCGGCCGCCGCCGGCTACTGCCTCCGCGGGAAAATCGACATGCAGGCCAAGAACAAAACCCTTCGGGACCCCGTGTTTTTCCGCGCCAACGTACGCGCACATGCTGCCGACGGGTGGTTTGAATGCGTCGTGAGTAGGTGAAAGACCCCCACCACCGCACGGGCACCAAGTACAAAGCGTACCCGACGTACGACTTTGCGTGCCCGATTGTCGATTCGACGGAAGGCGTGACCCATGCGCTTCGGACGACCGAATACAACGACCGCGACGCGCAGTACCAATGGGTGATCCAAGCGCTCAAGCTGCGCCCGGTTCGCATCCACGCGTTTGCCCGCATGAACTTTGTGCATTCTGTCCTGAGCAAGCGCAAGTTGCAGTGGTTTGTCGATCATGGACACGTTGCCGGATGGTATGGCCCTCGAATCACCATGGCACGACCTGATGGACGCGGCTAGGAACGATCCGCGCTTCCCGACTGTCCAAGGCGTCCTTCGTCGCGGGGTCACGGTCGAAGGGCTGCGCGAATTCATCATCAGTCAAGGCGCGTCGCGCCGCATCACGGACATGGAATGGGACAAGTTTTGGACGATCAACAAAAAGGTCATCGACCCGATTGCCCCGCGGTACTTTGCGCTCGACGCCAACCGCGCCGTGCGGTTGACTGTCCACGGCCTCCCCTTCACGGGCGTCCAAGGGTTTCCGACCGCGCTGCACCCGAAAAGTCCCGAAATGGGCGACAACATCAAGCGCTTGGGCAGCGATCTGCTCGTCGAACGCGACGACGCCAACCATTTTGTCGTTGGCGAGGACGTGACGCTCATGCGGTAGGTCGATTGATTCGTTTGCGATGTCCAATTCGCGTGCAGATTTGGCAACGTCACGATTACGGCGATAAACAAGTCCAAGGACGGCGAGATCCTGTCGGTGGATGCGCAGAATCACCCGGAAGGCGACTTCAAGACGACCAAGCTCAAGATCACGTGGCTCGCGCATGTCGACGATGTCGTGCCAGCGACGCTCGTCGAGTTTGACCACTTGATTAGCAAGCCCAAGTTGGAAGAATCGGACAATTTCCAGGACCACCTGACGCCCGTCACCCGCGCCGAAATGCACGCGATCGGCGACCACGGGCTGCGCAACCTCCAAGCCGGCCAAGTGATTCAGTTGGAACGCCGCGGGTACTTTCGCGTCGACCAGCCGTACATCTCCAAGGACCGTCCGTTGGTGCTGTTTATGATCCCCGACGGCAAGCAGCGCGCCATGTCGACGCTGTCGACGAACCTTGCCCATCGTTAGATGTTGTTGGCAGCGTCGCCACGACTGATACCCATTGCCCAATTCGATCCTTTCTCTCTGGGACGTTCATCCAAGCACTGCAACTTGTGCGTCGGGCGGAAGGCTGGGATCATTCATCAGAGGGAGATCACAGCTCTAGCGGTCGTGGCAGACGCCAGGCCATGCCGTGCGAGTGCTCTGGACACGTGATGCAGCAAGCCATGTCGACATCGACGATCCCATAGTACTTGGAACGTTGTCGGACCCGAGATGGTGGTTTCAAATGCGTCGAGTTGGTCGAGCAAAGCCAAGTCGTAGCTCCGGTCGTAGCAGCGAACCACTCCAATCCCTTGACAGGATCGATGTTGGGAGGCAGCGCGTCGTCGCATGCACGGCGTCGAATCCGTCTTGGCCTGGCTAGAGTGGCCTGCTCCCGAATCGCGAAATCCTGTCGGCACCTACTCACGGATAAAGTGCGCCGCGGGCCCAAGTCGCTCACGGTACAGCGCAGACAATCGCACACTCGTTCCCTTTCAAGCTCAGTCGGAAATTCAACCTCGCATGGATATATAGGCCCAGTATTCGCTGCACAGCTTGCGAGAGTCAGGAAAGATGGCAACGTCTCGAGGGGTTGTGGCCCGCGCGTAGGATGCTCTTCATTGAGACTCGCAAGCAATCCAGGCCACCGCTTCGCCAAACCGGCCATGACGGGCGTAGCACACGACCAGGTTTGCCAGGCTCGTTCCCGAGTGGACCTCATGCGGCACAAAACACGTCCAAGGAGGGACGGAGCAGGAAACCCCGAAACCCCGAGTGGGCGCTGTTGTTCTGACCGAGCATGCGCTGCGCACTGCTCGAATCGTTAACGTCAGATACACACGACACCTTTTGATCATCGACATGTCGAGACGACCGTCCAACACGATCGACAAGTCCATGCATCAAGTCAGCATGAGGGTTTCGGGGTCGTTCCACGGGCTCCACACGATCTAGCCCGTGTCTTTCAACGCCGTGCAGAGCACCGCCAGCGAGTGCTCAAACGATTTGGATGGGTCTCCAACGCCGTGTGGGGTGTTGGCAAGCATGCAAATATCAACCGGGTGTGTCAGGACTGGGCTCGTTTTATCGTGGCAAGAGTTGTCAATTACGTCGGCGCCGTCGGGAAACTTGTACGAGAGGCTGATGAGCCACAACTGTGCTAGCTTGACATGCTCGTCACCGTCTGGTGGGGTGTGGACATCGTCGACAAAGAGAGTTGCGTCTGTGTCGGGCTTGAAGCATCGTTTGCAATCTAGGAGCGTGGTGAGGCCGTCAAAGTAGTCGCGGCCTCCATGGATGTCGTTGAACCGATGGAATTACGCGAGGAACAGCCCGCAAGACGGTGGCTTCATCGCGCTGCCGTGCGCTCGTTGATTGAATGCGCAACGATATTTTGTCAATTTTTTAGATGTTTGAGTATTTTCAGTTTTTTTGAGAAATTCAAAATATTGCAAATTACCCTAAATAGGAATACCTTGAACAAGAGATTCAAAACGTCGTCGAGTGGAGACGAGGCGGGATGCCGCGCAAGGTGTTCAACGGTGAGTTCGTCCATGCGAATCTGCATGAGCCATCACAATGAAGTAGATCAAATCCATGGATATATCACGATGAGTCCGCTGTGTGTATCGATCATCGACACACCGCAGTTCCAGCGACTCCGCGACTTGAAGCAGTTGGGTACGTTTGGTCCGACGTCGCTACACATCACGGCACTCATGACGATTCAAGGCACGTTGTACTACGTGTTTCCTGGTGCGTCGCACAATCGTTTTGAGCATTCGTTGGGTGTGGCACACCTGGCCGGCGCGACTGTGGAGCGCTTTCGGACGAACCAACCGGACTTGGACATCACGGCGAAAGACGTCGAGCTGTTGGTGCGCTGCACGTTGTGCTGTGGAATCAAATACTTACTCATGTTGCTATCTACAGAGCGTGGCAGGTCTCGTGCATGACTTGGGCCACGGGCCGTTTTCCCACGTATTCGACGGCGCGTTCATGATGAATGCGCGTCCTAGTACGTCGTTCGACGCGCTGCATCGTTTGAAGGTGCAATCACACATTAGGTAGCTCGTACTCGCACGAAGACATGTCGCTTCGCATGCTCGAATACCTCGTGGACGACAACCACATCGACATGGACAAGTACGACGTGCGTTTTGTCCAGCAAATTGTCCAAGGCGCGAAGCGGTGGGGTGCATCTTCGTCTTTCCATTAATTCTCACCAAGGCGTAGCACCCATCAAGCGCGCTTGGATTCGCGCGGCTTTCTGTACGAGATCGTCGCCAACGGCCGCAACTGCATCGATGTCGACAAGTTCGACTACCTCGCACGGGATATGGCAAACCTATTTGGCGGGAAAAAAGGCTACGATTATTCGCGCTTGTGGCACTACAACCGCGTGATCGGCAACGAAATTTGTTACCACACATCCGTCACCAACGACATATACGAGATGTTCCAGCAGCGCTACTACATGCACAAGCAGGTAGTACACCTTCCGTCGCTTTCACTACATCTCTACACGCGTGATATTGCACGTTCCATGGACGCATCTCTTCACCGTTTGTCGAGTGTGGTGTTTATGTGGACGCTTGCATTTGTTTTGGTTCATTGACAGCACGAAATGGATCGTTGGAGTCCATTTTGCCGCGGAAGAATCTTGTCCACGAGTGCTGTGTGCTTGGTCCAAGTCGCTTTGTGGACTCTTTTTTACGTGCAATGATGATCAGCGCTGTACCGTTCAATTTCTCTGAGTCTCTCCAAAAGAAAATACTTGCTTGGGAAGATATCGAAAGTTGCCACGGTGTGCTTTGCGATAGATATACAACCATCGCAAGGGCAAAGCTGTCGAGTACATGATTTGTGATGCGATGCTCTTGGCCGACAAAGAGCTCTGCATTTCCGACTCGACCGAATCCCCCGAGCGATTCCAGTACATGACTGACCACATCGTGAAAATGATCGAATGCTCCACATCGCACGGCCTCGCACCTGCTCGCGACATTATCCGCCGCATTCGTCGCCGGCAGTTGTACGATTTTGTCGACGAGTTCCTTGTGCCAGCAGACTTGACCAACCAAATCCCCAAGGTTCAATTATTTCGAGGCATCCATGCCTGGCTGAAAAAATTTTTGCGTGTAGGTCACGGCGGTAGACATTGCATGTGCATCGAACGCAGCCGCCATCAACCTGGCCGTGGACGACATCATTGTGTACGACGGCCGATTGAACTATAATCTGCAGGTCGGTGTGGCCCACGAGTTGGAACCAGTTGTCCGATGTTGGGTTTCGACTTGACCATGTGCTGCCTTAGGACAAAAACCCAGTGGATATGGTGTCATTTTACTCGACGTCCGACCTGAGCCGCAAATTCCACACGCCGAAGGACGAAGTAAGCTTGCTTTTTCCAGACAAGGTATCCATTGCGTCGCGAACAACGTCGACTTGAGAAAGTGGATGGCGCCGTTGACGACTTGATCTAGTTTGAAGAGCGCATTCTACGTGTGTTCAGCCGAAATTCGGACGTGGGTGTGAAGCAGGCCATTTCGGATGCTTTCCGTCGCCACTTGAGGCAATACACCCGTAAACTGCCGTTTTCCCCCGCTTCCAAAGTACGTTCCTTGACTTGCCCAACGAGTGGGAAGGCCAACAAAACGCGCTCGAACTTGCTTAGGTTGGCCTTAAGCCGCCGCTGCCCTCCCGGCCCCCGTCGTCGACATCGCGAGGCATGCCTGGATGATACCGCACTCGCTTTTAAATCCACAACTGACGGGTCAACGTAGTGTTGGAGTTGGATTTGGACGACTCGACCGCTGCGACAAAGAAATCCAAACTCGGGTCCTAGGTGGCTGATCCCGACGTCACAACTATTTCAGTTGTGGGGGTGATGCCGTGTGTGTACAGATATGAAAGGCTCAAGAGCTCAATATACACCGTCAATTGGCACATGGATTGCTTTGGCAGTTGCCTGGGGGGCTCGCGTGTTCGTGTTTCTACGCCAATGTTTCGTGGTATGACGCAGAACCATTTGTTCTGGCCAAATGAGCGTGTCAACTGTCGAAGGGACACTATTCCACTGCGCAGTCATGGGTGGTAATTGCTTCAAAGCAATGCTTAGACAGGAAACGGAGCCAACGTGTCCAACCGCGCTTAGGCACCAGGTCTTGGCTGAGGACCATCAGCTGTGTCGCTTTGATGACTTTGATGGTTCTTGCCTGGGCCAGGCTCTGTTAAACGCGAAGAATACAATGTGAGAATACAATGCTTACCAAGCCATGCTCTGACGTCGTCATCATCGTCAGCTCCGGCACACTAACACGCTGGGCTCGGATGCAACGATGAGAGAGCACATCGTCGACTCCAGGAAATCTAGACTGTTCAAACACATGCACAATCTCACTTAATCAAGCAGGTAATGACGCGAAAGAGGCATCTCATCGGCGGCAACCACAGCAATCACCGTCCTACCTACACCCCACGCGTCATCATCATATCTCCACACAAGAAAAGCTGTCATGTCCACAGACAGTTGAGCGCGTTCCATGCGTGACCAAGCACCTCGCCGTGGCGTTCGTAGGCCAATGTCATCCAGGACGCGTTCGTCATCCGGGACAATCGCCGTCGGCACAGCGTGGCACCTTCCAAAATGGCGCGCAAATTTTCAAGTTATCCGGAATATCCCGGATAATATCGATTTTAAATATTCATTGGGACCTGAATAGAAAAAACAAGATAATTAAAATATGGCATTTACCTCGGATCGCCTCCTGCATTGTGTCCATAAGCATGAAGCGGTTGAATCGCAAGCCCGGCGCGGGGTCGTCGTGGGCGAAGAACTCACAGGGTGCACGAACGAATGCGTCTGGGCGTGGAATGACACCGGAAAAGGCTGCAGCCTTGGCACAACAAGATGCATTCGACCTCACCCATGGCTTTGCCCCTTTGACCGACGAAGACGGACCTCAGATTGGATGGTACGTCGTGTCGGTATTCGTTGTCGCGCCCTTGACATCGTTCTAGGCTTCTGAACGCGTGCAATACGTCTCGCAACATTGAAAATGACGAGCGCAGCGGAGTTGAGCTATACTTTCTCGCGCAAGACGGCAGTGCCTTCAAGACCACGTTGATTCAACCACCCTACTTCTACGTTGCAGCACCACCCAAGCGACTCCAGGAAGCCTTGGCGTATGTCGATCTTAGCCGTTCTTCATTGTTTGCGCCCGTATTCAGAGCCTTATTCTACCTGCCTTCGTTTAGATTCTGCCAGAAGACACTGGAAGGGACACTTCTGTCCTCGAGCGTCGTGTCGAAGGAAGACTTGGACCTGCCGAACCATTTGTCGGGACTGCAAGCGTCATACATTCAACTCGTGTTTCGAACGGTACGACTCCGTCGTGGGTTTCTTCTTTTTCATGGCGAACACCCTGGAGTAGGTGTCAGACTTGGTCGACGCCAAGCAAATCGTGTACCCCATGATTGCAAAGAACAAGCAAGATCCATATCACACGAGTGACATTCCCCTCACGGACATTCGGTCCGTTCACATTATCGTCGGCATGGGAGAGACGGCTTGTTGCTCATCTACCGTGTCTTTTGTGCAGCGAATACGATGTCCCGTACTTGATGCGTGTGGCCATCGACAAAGAAATTCGCATTGGCGCATGGTATTCCGTGCACGTTGATGCCGCAGAAGGCGTAAAAGTCGATCGGGTATACCCATTCTGCTTGTTGTGACGTTTTCTGGCTATGCATGGGAATACGTGATGTGGATTGAATTTGACAAAATTGCCTAGATTACGGATATGGTGGACAAAGCGGAGCCGGTGGTGCTGGCATTCGACATTGAATGTACCAAGGCACCACTCAAGTTTCCCGACGCCACGTCGGACCAAATCTACATGATATCGTACATGGTGGACCGCCAGGTACGTCCTCAAAATCTGCAAACACTGCTGTTGCGCATTCGATGTCGATCGTGTCGGTGACCTCATCCATGTTGATCTAGGGGTTTCTCATTTGCAACCGCGAATTCGTGTCGCAAGACGTCGATGACTTCGAGTATACGCCAAAGTCAGATTATCCTGGTAGAGTACACACAGCGACAGCACGAAAACGACTTGCTCGATTTGATGAGATGGCATTCTGTGTAGGACCGTTTGAGTGTGTGAACGTTACAAACGAATTCGAGTTGATTCGGTACTTTTTCAACCACGTGAAGGAGCTCAATCCGCACATCTTTGTCACATACAACGGCGACTTTTTCGATTGGCCGTTCCTGGAGACTCGAGCGCAGCATCATGGGTACAGATCTTTTGTAGTTCCTGGGGGGATTCATGGCAACTATGAAGCATGGATTTGACGTCGGAATTGGGCATTTCGAAAGACCGCAACGGGGAATACCGAGGGAAATGCGCGGTCCACTTGGATGCGTATTGCTGGGTCAAGCGTGACTCCTACCTTCCTCAGGTCAGTGACGTGCATTTATAATTTGCCCTCGGGAGTTTCTGTCCACGAGTCTAAAATGCCCAAGTTGCATTACCATCGTGTTATTATTGAAAGGCTACTTGCAGGGATCTCAAGGGTTGAAAGCTGTAACCAAGTACAAGTTGGGCTACGATCCTGTGGAAGTGGACCCAGAAGAAATGCTGCCCCTCGCTCAAAACGAACCGTTGAAGATGGCATCGTATTCAGTCTCCGATGCTGTCGCAACGTTCTATTTGTAAGGACTATATGCCATCGTCCACCGCGGCCAAGTGTGTGCATTTCATGAGTTTTTTACAGATACGAAAAATATGTCCACTTGTTTGTGTTTTCACTCTGCACGATCATTCCGCTCGGCAGTGAAGACGTCTTGAGAAAAGGCAGCGGGACGCTCTGTGAAGCCCTCTTAATGGTCGAAGCTTTTCGCGGCAACATCATTTGCCCGAATAAGCAGGTTTCAGCTCCATTCCGTAAGTGTGCCAGTCATGCGACAGGCGTGAAATTCGAATTCAAATTCTCGATTCGTCACAACCTTTGTTCCTTAGAAACGTTTCATAAGAACCATGTCGTTGGCAGTGAGACGTACATCGGCGGTCATGTCGAATGCTTGGAAAGTGGGGTGTTTCGGGCAGACCTTGAGTACCATTTCAAAGTCGTCCCGTCTGCGTTGGATGTGCGTAAATTTTCAGCGAGGATGACTTGAAAACTCATGGAGCTATCTGTGCATTAGCACCTCATTCAACATATCGACCGCGATCTCACGTTTGCGCTCGAGGTCGAACTGGACATTCCTCGCCACGAAATCACGAATTACACCCAGGTAATGCAGTGCTCAATTCCAAGGGTCACCAATCCTAACGATTTAGTCTTTTCACTGTTGATTTGTTCTGCATAAATTTCTGGGACGAATTTTTCAACACCCTTGATTGCTCAGCATGTTTTTCCGCATGTGGCCTAGGTCCGTCAAGAGATCGTGGAAGCGTTAGAAATGCTACGAGATTCGCCGGATCGATGGGAGAAGCCACTCATTTATCATTTGGATGTGGCGGCGATGTATCCGAATATTATCTTGACGAATCGCTTGCAACCGTCGGCGATGGTGCAACCTACGGACTGCGCTGCGTGTGTGCACTCAACGTCTTGCGAAGCGTCGTACGTTCAACACTAATCACTCGGTGGACTTGTCAATGCACTAAGATTGAATTCTTCTCCAGGACGTCTACTCTGTCATGCCAGAGGCCAATGGAATGGGTTTGGCGCGGAGACTACTACCCTGCAAGCAAACAGGAGTTCCAGCATATTCAAACCCAATTGAGCTACGAAACGGTCAACAATACGCCGTACGCCCAATTGCCAGAAGAAAAGCGCAACAGTATGTTGACCGACCGCGTCAAGCAGTACTGCAACACGGTGTACAAGAAGACCACCATCACTGAAACCGAGACACGCACGTCGACGGTATGTTACGCGCTACTGTGGGGCTTGTATTGTTCTTGAGGCTTGTTCAGTGTTTGGCATTTGTACTGTGTGATCCAATTCACCTGACATCGTTCCTGGATGAAGGTTTGCATGCGTGAAAACGCATTTTACGTCAACACCGTGCGCGCATTTCGCGATCGTCGGTATGATTACAAGATTTTAACCAAGCAGTGGCAGAAAAAAGCTTCCGCAGCAACAGGTATGACAATCCCAGTCGAGGTGTATCGGGTTAAAGTTTTCTTTTCGTAGATCCCCTGGAGAAAGTAGACGCAACAGCAAAGTTTGGCGTATATGACTCATTACAACTGGCCCATAAGTGCATCTTGAACTCTTTCTATGGGTACACAAGGGTCTTCGCTGTGGTCCCTATGCACCTGTCTTGACATTGTTTCGGATGGTTTCATAGGTATGTCATGCGTCGAGGGGCTCGATGGCACTCGATGGAGATGGCTGGTACGAGGGATCCATTCAGACAACTTACTTGATGTATGACACAATTGTCGTGGATTAAATGAGGTGGTTGATGCAGGCATCGTCACCAACACTGGGTCCCAAATTATTAAGCAAGCTCGGCAATTGGTCGAACAGCTTGGGCGCCCTCTCGAACTCGACACGGATGGGATTTGGGCCATGTTGCCTGGCTCATTTCCAGATAAGTTCAAGTTTACATTGAAGGACGGATCGACACGGTGACGCATTTTCAATTATTGCAAAATCTGATGCGAATATGTATAGCTCTCTCGAGTATCCCTGTGTTATGTTAAATGCGGCCGTACAAGAGAATTTTACCAACCATCAGTACCAAGATTCCATCGGGCAATCATACCAAATGAGGTCCGAGTGCTCAATTTTCTTCGAGTTGGATGGACCGTACAAGTGCATGGTTGTTCCCGCATCGACTGAAGAGGGGAAATTGTTGAAAAAACGCTATGCTGTGTTTAACTTCTCCAACAAACTTACAGAACTCAAAGGTAATAGAATGAACGACAACAAAACCTGAACGAACTTCTGGTAGGCTTCGAATTGAAGCGCCGGGGGGAGCTCGAGATTATCAAAGCTTTCCAAAGTCAAGTATTTCCTTGCTTTTTGGAGGGCAAGACGCTGTCCGAGTGTTATGCAGCCGTCGCAGATTGCGCCAATCGATGGTTAGTCGCTGCATGCTCCAATGGGAAATTTGAGGTGACACTTACTAGGCTGGACATCTTGGATACGAAAGGCCAGGCCATTGAAGAAGAGGAAGTGTTGGCCCTACTCACAGAGAACAAGAGCATGTCGGGGCGACTGGAAGATTACGGCGGTCAAAAATCTACCTCCATTACCACTGCCCGGCGTCTTGGTAAGCTTTCGTGGCTATCCGATTCTACCCTACTTACAGAAATGGCATGGTAAAGGCGAATTCTTGGGTCAAAAAATGCTCCAAGACAAGGGGTTGACATGTAAATTAATCGTCCTCACTCAACCGTACGGGGAAAAGGTCACGGAACGAGCAGTTCCGACCGCAATTTTCTCTGCAGAACCAGCGGTAACACCAGCCATATTCATTTCATTCCGGTGACTCAAGAGCACTCACCGCGTTAATTGCCAAGGTGAAAAAGCACTTCTTGCGCAAGTGGTGTCGAGATCAGTCGATGACCGACTTTGACGTCCGATCGCTGCTCGATTGGGACTACTACCGCACACGGTAAGACGATTTCAGTTGGCTCCACCCATCCTCAAAGTAGTTTATTGATTCCATGCATGGCTATTCGGTCATTATTGCCATATCTAATGCACCATTATTAGATTTGCTGGCACCGTACAAAAAATCATCTTGCTTCCGGCGGCTTTCCAGCACATAGCTAACCCCGTGCCTCGCATTGAATTGCCCAAATGGATGGAGCGGAAAGTCCGCGAACGGTTGGACACGAAGCGCCAGACGACTCTCGGGTACTGTTGAATGCAATCTTGAGCTGTATAACAAGTCGAACTTTCCTGGAAATGTATTGGTTTGTTTATTGTTATCCATCATTTTTGCATTGCTTCTGTGGCATGTTGTACCAACTCCTGCATTCTGGTAGAAGTTTTCGTCAATGTTTTGGCAATGAATTTATCGTCCTTCGATACTATTGTCGTGTCTTGTTTGGATATTTTATGAGTAACCTTTTGAATAGATTCCTTCGGGTGCCAAAGTCCACCGACTTACCCGACTGGACGCCTTCAACGTCCATGACTAAACAAACCTCTTCGGTGAAAAAACAAGACAATGTCAAGTCCACTGGTGTACCCATTCTGGACATCGAGTCCATCGGTTCTATGCAAATTGATGAAGAAATCCCTGTCGGCCAAGTAGTTGATGTCGACCCAGAGAGCTCCACGTCGTCTTCCTGGTCGTCGTATGCAGAGTGGTTACAGCTGCGCAAGCAAAAATGGCGTCGAAAACGCTTGGAGATGAAGGAAAAGGACACTCCCATGGTACACCGCAGCAATATCCGACAACAAATTTGCTCAGTGAATGCATGGTACAAACAACTAGGCTATTCAAAAACGGAAGCAGCTCAATATGTGGCACATTATTGAGGTTCAAGACACTCGTATCCCTGGTTTGTGCGACGTTTGGGCCATCAACGACGGGTACGAATTCAACCATTCTCCATCATAGCATTCGATGTTAAAAAACTTGTAGTCGGTTGGAAATTCAGCAAATTGAAGTCGGCACGACGGTGTTTCGATTGAAAAACATGGGCAGTGCCAACATGGAAAACTCGATGAACTTCCAGGAAACGAAACGATATGTGTCCAACCAAGCGCACATGGTGGCGCTCGTGCCATGCCCATCTAAATTGGCCGCCAACACGTTGGAAATTGTGTACGAATCGACCATTCGCAGCTCGTCGCGTCTTCTTTGGACCTTGGGGTACGTGGGTGGCTGACCCATCGAGAACAAGCCTGTATTGGCTTGCATCACTCTTTTACATATTTGGTGAATGGGCGAAGTCACTAAAAGCAATGAATCTTATACAATCCACCATATCCATGTTCGAGAACTCACCCGTGGCTTGATTAGGTCGGTGGTCCAACCTCCTCCACCGTCGTCGTCGCAGCGCTTGACACTGTCCGGATTCCATTCGAAACCCGCCCTCATGTCGACATATCTAGCTCCTACGACAACCTCATCGCATCCAGCTCTGCATCAAGTAGCGCTGGTGATTTCCACCAACCAGAACCAGCAAGTTGGGTCATGGAGCTTGCTCGTGCGGTCGTCGTCCAGTTCAATTACAGCCAACGGTCAGCAGGACTCGATGCAATGGACTACTGCGACTTCGTGGCTGCTGGATGCCCAGGGTGCCACCAGCGGCATCAAACTTACCGACTGGCGCAATGGATCCTCCCCCATTCCCCTTCCCAAAATGACAAACCATGTCGTGTCTTCCATGGCAGACGTTGTGTCCGGTGTCAACAGCTACTTGGCAAAGTACGTGTCTCTTATCGTGCCCTCGGTTTATGTGTTGTCGAATATTTTCTAGTACAATACGTGTCGAGATTGCTTGAAAATATTGGGGAAAACTTGGTTGCCGTGCTGCAATTTGATTTTTAATTGGTGTTAAGTTTGATTACAATTCTGTGTAGGTGGCGTGACTCCGCGAGCGTTGTCATTGCCCACATCCCCAAGTGGATCACCAGGTCGGGCCTTCGGGCGCAATTCCGAGGCTTGTCGGCGTTTCCCATGGTGGTGGCGCCTGCCGAAGACCAGCCGTTTCCGATGCTTACGTGGCGTCAGGATTGGCAGTCGCGGCTCATCCACACCATCGACGTGCTCCCGCTGCAGTTTCAAGAACTATTGGAATGTGCCCGGTTCGTCGTGAACTGTGAACAGTCCATCACGTAATTTTCTATGTTATGTCTAGATATGTGCAATTGCCAGTTGGCAATCTCCAGGGTGACCTTCACTTGATGATGCTTGACACATTATACGCCCGACTCCTCCAAAAGTACCAGCATGTGTGGTGGGGTGCGGCGGACTTGTCACCTGCACATGGCCTTGATGGTTTCCATCCCGTTCTTGTGCCCGGCGCATACACACACAATATAGTGATCGACTTGAGTCTCGATGGGCTTGCGATTCAAGCGCTGCTCTCCACGAATGGTGAAGCCGTGTCAGGTAAGTCTTTCACGACGACATTGAACAGATTTTCACATGAAGTGGCTGTGTCGGAGATTGAATTTACAACTGAAAATCATGGGAATGCGCGTATTGCTTCATTTGGACGCGCATACATTTTACAAGCTTCGTTTATCATGGCTGTTGCGTTGAACAAGGAGGATTTGAGTGCTTTGGTCTCGTTCTGAAGCTCCGTATGAAGAATGACTACGATGGCTTGCTGTTCTGTCGATTGTATTTTTAGCGTCCTGATGACTTGGCATAGAGGAGAACGTGGCGTTTCGATTGCTACGGCAATTGGCGACGCAGCTGTTCAACGACGTGATTTCAACCAAGAGTCCGATTGCCGATTCGCTCTTACAGCACTTTTATCGATGGACGGCGTCGCCGGGAGCGCAGTTCTACGATCCTCACTTGCACGCGATGATGCAAAACTGCATGCAGCAAGTGCTCAAGGAGCTCTTGGTCGAGATGAAGCGACTTGGCGCGACCATCGTGTACGCGGACGTATCTCGCGTACGCTGCATGAAGTCTCGTCATTTCTGATGAATGATGCCTGACGTTAACCTGGACGGGATAGATTGTGCTTGAAACCCAAAAGAGCTCGATGGACCAAGCCAAGGCGTACTTGGGCTTCATCACACGCACGTTGCAAGAATCCTTCCCGGTGCTGTCGTGGGCTCCTGTTCATGTAAGGACCTTCTGAAATCGTTTTCATGCATTGTATATTCAACGCTTGATTCGTCATTTCATCGTCTCCTTTCCAGTTCTACTCGCACATGCTGTTCTTGGACATGGAAAACTTTGGCGGGATCGAGCATGTAGCGGACTCAGAGTAAGCTCAAGATTGCTTGATGCATCCTCTCGATTATTTTGACGGAGGTTTCTAGGCCTCAAGTGGTGGGCTCGTGGAATATGGCACGATATTTGCCCCGCGGTGTCGATGAATACTGCCGCCTTCTCATTGCGCAGTTTATCAAGCGGCGCTACGATGTACATGTGTTGTACATTCTCGTGCTGTTGTGATTAAAATGTCGTTGGCCTAGTTCACGGTCCGATATTTGAGCGACCCAATGATGCACAACCCAATCGAGTACGTACTCTTGCCGTGATGTGTTCAAATATGGGATTAAATCCACCCGTGCTATATACGTGCCGTTCGTCATGTTTTCTGACGTTTTTGTGGTTGCTTTGCCTGGCCGTAGAAGCAGCAATGTCGAACAATCGTTAACCGATTACTCGCAAAAGCTCATCTCGACCCAATTCACGGACAAATTTCTCCGTTTGGTTCCGGACATCCTGGCGCACACCCACACGTTTCCGATCTTGGCGGGATCGCATCTTCCATGGTCTCATGCGTCGCTCGAGCTAGTCAAGTGTGTCTGCCACGTCTGGGGCCTCGATTCTTCCTTGTCGACAAATGTCATGCAACTCAAGCGCACGCTGCTGAAGACACTCAACATCAGGTACACAGACGACTTCAAGTCGCTGATGTCGCTTTTTTAATTGCACCGATGGGGCTGTGGGTGGTATGGCATGGTTTGTTGTGAATGGCGAGTTCGCAGCCGAAAAAGCTGTGGAAATTGCTGCGTCGTGCACTTGGATTTCTAAACGAAGTCTCCCGAGTGTTGCAGAGGACCACCGGCTCATGTATGCATTGGGGATGTAGCGAGTTTTCAACGGAAGCCGCGTTTGAGAACCCTTCCAAGTCGTTTGTGTTGCCCGACGTCATTTGCACGCATTGCAACGTATGCCGACACGTGGATTTGTGTCGCGAACCTGGACTCATGGAAGAACTCACGCCATCCAACGACGACCAAGACGTGGACGACGCCCAGCCGTGGCAATGTCCTCGCTGCACCCACCTGTACGACCTTGAAGTGCTCGAACATCGACTTGTCCATGTCGTCCACACGCAGTTCTCTCTTCCGTACCAGCTGCGAGAACTCGTCTGTATGCGTTGCAAGCTCCCGAACGAGTCGCAACTCAACACGCTGTGTTCGTGCACAGGTACAAAAAATGCCCATTTGACAGTTGCCTCGCCGTCGTGCTGCATCGAATCCTGGCACATGCTTGGGTCGACCTCTGTGTGGTTTGTGGATGACGATATATCAAACTCGTGTGAGTAGGGACGTTGGTGCTGGACGACGCGTCCAGTTCGGGCCATGGTCGTGTCGAAATCGACGAGATATTCCGAATTTTGCACCACTTGGCCAAGCATCAGCGCTTCAACTACTTGCAAGAAACGTTGGAGCGCCTCATGCACTAACAAGATCCGTGTTCGTCCTGGTATCCCTCGTTTCTTTCGTCGTGTACATGAAATCCCATCAACCCGACGTCACTGCTTCCAAAGGCAACGACATGCACCGAGGCAAACGCATGCTGTGTCAACGACGTAGAAATCTCGACCAACGTCACGTCATCCGATCACGCTGCCACGTTCAGTTTGGACAACTCGCGATGGCGTGCGCGGCTTGCAAGGAGCCTGCCAGGTTGGTCCGGTCGGCGCCACGAGGCTCTCGTCCAGCACGCACGCACGAGATGGCTCCACACGGCCATGAACCACACGACGACAATGGCGGGAGAGTTTTCAGGGGTGCGTGGATGACGCTCGGTGGAAGGGACGTTTTACTTTTGGCATGCCAAGCTCGTCGTGCTTTGTTTGACGAACGAGCGCCGGCCGTGGACTCGCGGGCCAGGCACGTAGTGGAGTTTCCGCAGGAATGCGCGCATCTTGACGACGTCGACTTGGACTCCATGGCAAGTTTCGAGGTGCTTGCACAAATGAGCGGCAGTCACGGGCAGCTCTGCTGCGTTCCGCGATTCCATGTACGTCTCCACGTCGTCGGTGTAGTCGTGAAGTAGCTGCATCGTGGTGGTCGTCGGCGCAGGGGGCGGCACTGGCACCACCTAGGCAGTCGAGGTGACGGCATGGCGGCATCGTGCTAAGTCGTACCCGGTGCTGGAACGTTGGGTCTTTGAATCGGTTCCACTCGGTGATGACGTGCGAGACCGTTTTTTGGGAGATGCCGAGGCACTTGCTAACGCGGGCTCGCGTCTGCCACGGGGGGTTTCGATGGACAAGGAGCTTCTCCTTCTGCTTTTCTGCCTACGATCACCATGACATGCGGCCTCGAATGATGCGATCCTGCCTTGAAGTACGCGTGGCACTTGACGACGAGCAGCTTCTCCGCAGCACTCAACTGATGCTTGATGGTTGGTATTCGCTGCATGTCGTCGTTGTCGTCGTTATCCAGGTGGCAGGCGGAAGCATCGTGTGCGCTGCCGTCGCCATGGGGCGTATCACGACTGCGGCTGCACCGCGCGTGGTGTGCTTTGAGTTGGCGAGCTTGGCCGATCATGATGCATCCGCATGCCATGCACTTGGCGCGAGGTCGCGCAAACTTGGCTGTGCTCGTCGCACCACCTGCATCCTCGGTGGTTTGAAGAGAATTCACGACCGGGAGCTTCATGAAGAACTGCCAAACTGGGTCGCTCGGCCGACCGACCGCGCCGCGGCGAGGTGCTTGCATGCGCGGTGGAAAAAGTATTATCCGAATCCTAGCATTATATCCAATCATACTACGCGAATCTGAATGACGGGTTCGGATTGGTCAAAAATATCTTGAGCAATTAATTGGAATCTCATGATGTTTTTCGATCAATCGATCTTTATTTCAGCAGGTTACTGTTATACATTTTCACTGATCAAAATACAATACATCAAAGATGCTGCTAATATTCCTCTGTATGTGATGAGTTAACGTCAGTTCAAGAATTGACTTTGCAGAAAATTTGTCATTTCTCTTTTCATAATTTTGGGTGAAAATTGGAAGTGACCAGGCTACTGAGCAAAAGTGCAATCTCTGACGATTTACCACCTACAACACAAAACAACTTTGGAAGTAAAGTACAAGTTCAACACCATGATTCATGAAGTTATGTGAGGCTCTAACCACTAATACATCGATTGATTGCAGGTGACACAAACCGCGCAGCACGGTTAGCATCAATCGAGATGCGCTCTTGGCGGTTCAAACGATAACGTCGTTGTGAATCGGCACGTCTACGACGTCTATCTTGAGTCATCCTCTCGTAACGCGCCAACACCAACGCGTAGAACCGCTCGTCTTCAGCTCGGAGAGGCATGAGCGTCAAATGGTAGTTAGA